TTTTAGAGAAAAACTTTCCAAAAGGTCAAGAAAAAAAAAAAAAAAAAAAAAAAAGCTTTTTTTAATTATGCTTGTTGTTTTCAGGGAAAACTTTCTCAAAGGAGAAGCTGTGAAGATCAAAAGGGGAATGAGTCATTGAAAAACCTGAGTATTTATTAGATAAAAAGAATGTATAAGTTAGGGGGAGGGGGAATTTTATCTGACATGTAGACAAAAATCAGTGTGCTCAGTGGTCCAAAAAGACTTGACTTTTCTTGACATTTCCACTTGGCATAATAGACATTTTTGTCCAGTGGGAAATTAAGTAAGACAAAGGAAATTCCTGGCCTATCTGTTTGCTCGATGATTGGTATGCCTTTGAGAGCAAATGAATGCATATTTGCTTGACACTTCAAATTAAAGTGGAGGTGTGTCCTTTTCATAAACTTGCTGTCACTTGTTGTGCTCATTTCAGCTGGGCTCACTGCGTCACTGCACCAACTTGCTGGATCTCCTGGCTGCCAAAAAGAGTTCCCTGTGTGGGGTTTTGGAGTGTGTGTGCTTCCATTTGGGTTTTTGGAGCACTTGGTGGCTCTGCTGTTTGGCATGGTCAGTGAAGAGTGATATTTGAAAGAGTGATTCTCCAGAGTTCATTGGAGAGCCAGGACGTTTAAACACATGGTACAGTGCGAGCTTATGTAGGGAAAGGGGTTGGCAGGGCCAATAATTACATTAAAGTAGTTTGCAGTAGCTAAATTTGACTGGTTTAAATTACAATAAATTGTCTTTACTGTTTGTTGTGTTTGCTGTGTAATGGGCTGGCATGTTGTTGCTTGCAAAAACTGCTTGCCTTTATTTTTTATTTTTCCTTCTTCTTTAACTTAACCATAAAAACCCACTGAAACATTATGCTTCCAAAGATGTTTTACTGCCTTAGTGTTTCTGAACAAGCACTTCACTGTATTTTTTGGGTCACCCTGTTGCATCTGTTGCTCTTTGCAGAAAATATTTTGTGAACACCTTGAAAGTCTGATGGTACCATGCACTTTTCTCACCTTCTTCCTCCTCCTTTTTTTTTTTTCCCCCCAGATTTCTGACTTTGGGCTTGCAAAGTGCAATGGCTTGTCCCATTCCCATGACATCAGCATGGATGGCTTGTGTGGCACCATTGCCTATCTTCCTCCAGAACGCATCAAGGAGAAAAACAGGTGTTTTGACACCAAACATGACGTGTACAGGTCAGTGAACTATGAAAACACTTAAATGCTATTTTAGTAAGCCTGTATAATGAGCCCTTTTTAATTTTTTTTAAGCATGAAACCCCTAAATATAATTTGAGGCTCATCTTGAAATGTGTCACATTTGCTTTGGGTTTTGCAAAGTCTTTGTAGGGTAGAGGCCTGTTAAAAACTGCAGGTGATCCTGGGTCATGAAATTATTTGTTAGCAACTGGCAATGGGAGGCACTCTGCCCACCTTTAATTTCCCTTCTAAAGGTACATCCTGACCTACTTTTCCAGTCTGTGATAAAATTCTGAGTTATGTTCAGTGGATTTCATCACAAGGTCTTTGGCTCTTTCATGGCAAGATTATTAGGAAAAGGAAATCACAGCTTTAGATTTAAAAGATATCTCTTATTCTAAATTAAATGGATTTCTTTAAAGTCATCTTGCAGTGTAGAAGCATTAAATTAAATCCACTGTAATGCTTTCTCTGATTTTGTCAGGGTAGATGTGGAGTGGTTGGTAAATGCTACCAAGGATTTGGCAGCCTCCAGCAAGTCCCTGTGTCTGCTGCTTCAGGTTCCTCCCTGCCAAAGCTAGACTTTGAAATTGTGGTTTTTGCTGCATCTCTGTGTGTGTGTGTTCATCAGCTGAATTAGATACAAAAGTGGAGGGACAAGGAAAACAAATTATACTCCTGAGTTTTTCAGTTTCATTTAAAAAAAAAATCTATAAATATTTTTTTACCTTTTTAATTTTTTTTTTGGTAGCTTTTCCATCGTGGTTTGGGGAGTTCTTACACAGAAAAAGCCTTTTGCAGGTAAGTTGTGCGTTATCTTGAATTTTTTTTTCTTTTTCCCATTACTAAGCACACTTCTTGTCCCACTAGCCCCAGCTTTTGTGCAATTACCTCCAAATTCTAACAGTCTTGTGTGGTAGACACTTTTAAGCTCTCAAATTCTGAACACAAGCTTAAATCCTCCTTTGTCCTACGTCATGAAAACAGAACCTGTGTTGCTGCAGGGGCCCTTGTCTGCACATTTTTGTTTCTGCTGGAGTTTGCTGCACAGCTTCAGACCAGAGTGTGGCAAAGCCAACTTGGCAGGCAGTTTTTCTGTTGTTTTTCCTCTGTAGAGAGGTTCTGCAGTTTGCTTGTAGATTGTGGGCACAGATTTGTTCTTTCTAAAAAAAAAAAAAAACAATAAAAAAAAAACCCAGAAAAAAGAAAAGCTGTCTGTGAGAATAAGCCCTGTTCCACCCTGCAGTGGATGCACCACTCAACAGGCAGCTATTTATTCTTTATGACTTTCCTGTGTCTGTGAGTGGCCTGTGTGGGGCAAACACGTCCCAACAAGTTCCAGTCTACTGCTCATTTTTCTCCCAGTGAGGGATTCCGTTTAGCCCAGTGGTTGATTTACAGTCAGGAGCTGCCTTCCTGCACCTCTTGATTTGTGTTCTTCCTTCACCTTTATCAACAGTTCAGGTGCCTGGTCCAAATAAAACCTAAGGTTCTGTTTTCTTACAGCAGCTATGGAAATCCAAAGAGAAGTAGCAAAGAACTGTTTGAGGTTTTGTTTTTTTTTTTTCTTTTGTTCTTTATCTTTAATAGGTGGAAAAAGAACACAGTCACTCGATGAAAATTGTTTTTAAGTGATGCATTGGAAGCAGGTGTTACTGCATTAAAAATACCTTGTTGGAGAAGACAACCAACAAGTTTTTCCCCTATTGATAAGAAAACTAGAAAAAAATGTGTAAAAACAAATTTTCCAGCCTAATGGACTCTTAATGCTTTTAGAAAAAAAGAGAAGTGATTTCTTTTGCTGGGACATCTAAATTTGTGTGCTTTTGCTTTACAGAGGAAAACAACATTTTACATATTATGGTAAAAGTAGTTAAAGGCCACCGCCCAGAGCTACCTGCTGTTTCCAAATCCAGACCTCATTCATGTAATAACTTGATCAAACTGATGCAAAAATGTTGGCAAGATGATCCTGGTGAACGGCCAACATTTCAAGGTAAGATTTCCTCGTAACTTGGCTGCCCATTCATTCTTCTATGAGTCACATTATTGCTCAGGACTCTGCTAATCCTTGGGGTAAACGCTGAGAAGCTCTGTGACAGAATAAATAGAACACATTGTGTGGTGGAGACAATGATACAGGCCACTTACTCATTTGGAGGAAGGGATTATCTGAGGACATGTCTGACCATGATGGTGTTATGTAAACACGCCAGGAATAAGCCTTGTACTGAACCAGTCGGTCCATTTAGCCAGAAATTATATTTATTTCTGATAGTGTGTGTCAGGACATAGGCCAGGCTGGAGTTGCTGTGGTTTGCAGTGCACCAAAGCGTGGAAGGAACTGGCTCTTGAAATTTGTATTGTTGTATGTTGAGAAAGTGAATTTTCTTGTAATGAAATAGTTTGTACAGTCACTTCTGTGCCAGTAAAAGGTTTGAACTTGTCCAAAGCACCTGTTATGAATTCAGGCGTTGTGGTAGTTTGGCACTAGCAAGTGCTGTCACCAGGTAGCTTCATTTAGGATTAATGGGAGAGATTTGCCTCTTCCCTCTCCTCCTGCTCCTGCTCAAACAAGGAATGAGGACTGAAGAGATGAGGGATCCCATCTTTAAATAAAAAACATATCTATATCTGCCAGCAGTACAGTGGTTCCCATTTCACAGCCCTGCAGTGTGGCCCCTCTGTAACACCATTCTGGTGGGTGTGAGTGAAAATGAATTGTTTGGGCAGCCCTGTGTACCCTTGGCTTGGCTGCACACTTGTGCCCACTGAGGGGGTGCTGGATGGAATGGTCAGGACTGGAGTCCTTCTCCCTCAGTATCTCAGATATTTTAAGTTCTATTGATAGAGAAAGGCAGCAGGGTATCTCAGAAACTCTCCTTCAAAAAACAAGCACTAAAACCTTCTCTTGTTTTCTTTAAAGAAATCACTTCAGAAACAGAGGCCCTTTGTGAAAAACCAGAAGATGAAACAAAAGAGATGGTAACCCAGGACCTGGACACCAAGAATGCCCCAGAGCAGCAGCCTGAGGTATTTTCTCTTTCACTTCTTGTTCAAACTTGCAGGGTTTTGGGAGGAACAGGCTTCTTTATGACCTGGAAGGTTCCAAGCAACCTTTTCTTTGCTGCTTTTGAGCACCACCTTGTCTGATGGAAGTGGGTCTTGGTAAAGGACTGGAATGCACAAATGACAGCAGGGACTTGGATCAGCTCAGGAAAACCTCAGGGCAGATCCAAATGCAAAGTGCATCTTACTCTGTGGAGGGGGAGAGCAGGAAATAAAGGCTGGAGCTGTGTGGGTGTGACTTAAAAACCATCGTAGACAGAAGGGCCATGTGGCTTTAGTGGCTCTGTGAGTACTGATGGAAGCTGCCCTCCTGCTTCTGAAAAAATTCAGTGACCTTATTCATAGGTTTTATTTAATACAAATAGTGTTTAAAGGCTACCTGCAAAGTAACAAATTTATGTTTCTTCTGTAGGGTCTTGTGCTCAGTTTTGTTTGCTGACCTTTCTAAAATGCTTGTGTGCTTCTCTTGAAGGGGATTTGTGCACTATCCCAGAAGAAACAGGAGCCTGCTCTGCCATCAGTTAAGGATTACAGTCTCTCAGAGTTGTTGTCCCAGTTGGATTCAGGGATTTCACAGACTATGGAAGGCCCTGAGGATCTCAGCCGCAGCTCTTCGGAGTCCAAACTTGCCTCCAGTGACAAGCGGCTCTCAGGAGTTTCATCTGTAGATTCAGCTTTTTCATCCAGAGGATCCCTTTCCCTTTCCTTTGAAAGGGAGAGTTCAGGTAATGGTCACGTTTTCCTTTGTAGCTCTTTGGACTGGGGCATGGGAGCCAATGGGTTGGAGAGTAGAATAACATTCTGGAAATTACTGTTAGCCTTGCTTTCTCTTGCTGTCAGCACTACAAATTTGTTTACTGGAGGTAGTTATTTAAAAGGAAAAAATACAAATAGAAAAATTATGTGGTTCCCAAACATGATCTAATGAGAAATAATAAATCTCATTTACTTTTGTAAAGGAGTAAACTCCCATTAAAGCAATTACAGAATCAGTCATGTAGAGGTTGGTTGGAAGGGAGGTCACTACTAGTCCAGCACCCTGGTTGATATGGGATTAAAGCCAGTGCCCAGTCAGGTCAGCTGAGTCTGTGGCTTGTTCAGTTAAACTCAGCCTAAACCTGAGCACCTTAGTTTTTGAGAGGACTCAAGCCACATTCTCAGCAGCCCCTGGGACCATTGTGATAAAGACCCCCTCACTTTTCAGTCCAGTGCTGCAAACCCCAGACATCTGTTTTCCAGTCAGGTAAACAAATGGTTAGTGCAGGGAGATCAACCACAACATCCTTTGGTCTTCGTGCCACAAGAAACAGAGTCAGTGGGGGTCCAGATCTGACTTGAAAATGTTCTGGGACTCCTGTGGGGCAAGGGGAGTGGATTGTACAGCAGGCAGCTCATTGTTGAAACCATGGCCAGGTAAGGTTTGATGGGCATCAGAACTGTGATGCTGTCTTTTCCACAGAATCTTAGAACAGTTTGGGTTGGAATGGACCTTTAATGAGCAGGGACATCTTCAAATAGATAAAGGTAAATGTTTTCAGGGATGAGGCATCCACCACCTCTCTGGGCAACCTGTTCCAGTGTTTCACCACACTCATGGTAAAATTTTTCTTCTATCTATCCATTTAGATATTGGTACTACCGACATACAGAAGAGGAAGCTGACGGAGGCAATTTTATCCGGAGATACCAGCAAGCTGATGAAGATCCTCCAGCCTCAAGATGTTGATATTGTTTTAGATGGGAACTCCAGTCTTCTGCACTTGGCTGTTGAAGCAGGTCAAGAAGAATGTGTCAAATGGCTCCTGCTGTACAATGCTAACCCTAACCTCACCAACAAGAAAGGGTCCACCCCTCTTCACATAGCCATTGAGAAGAAGTTTAAAAGCATCGTGGAGCTGATTATGGCCAGGAAAATCAACATCAATGCCAAAGATGAGGACCAGTGGACTGCTCTTCACTTTGCTGCCCAAAACGGGGATGATTTCAGCACCAAAATGCTGCTTGATAAGAACGCATCCTTAAACGAGGTGGATTTTGAGGGCAGAGCCCCCATCCACATAGCCTGCCAGTACGGCCAGGAGAACATCGTGCGCATCCTGCTGAGAAGAGGCGTCAACGTGAACATCAAGGGCAAGGACGACTGGGTGCCCCTTCACTACGCCGCCTGGCAAGGCCACCTCCCCATCGTGAAGCTGCTGGCCAAGCAGCGCGGCGCCAACGTCAACGTGCAGACCGTGGACGGAAGGACCTCGCTCCACCTGGCCGCCCAGCGGGGTCACTACCGCGTCGCCCGCCTCCTCATCGACCTGGAGTCGGACGTCAACGTCCGCAACGGGCTCCTGCAGACTGCCCTCCACATCGCCGCTGAAACCGGCCACACGAGCACCTCCAGGCTGCTCCTCAAGCACGGGGCAGACATGGAGGCCACCACGGCAGAGGGATACACGGCCCTGCACTTGGCATCCCGCAGCGGCCACTTAGCCACAACAAAGCTGCTGATGGATGAAAGGGCCAGCGTTCTAGCCAGAGGGCCTTTAAATAGGACAGCGTTGCACCTTGCCGCGGAAAACGGGCACTCTGAAGTAGTAGAAGAACTTGTCAGTGCAGAAAATATCAATATTTCTGACAGCGAGGGGTTCACGGCTCTTCACCTGGCTGCGCGAGGGGGGCACGCGAAAGCAGTGGAGGTTCTCCTGAAGCATGGGGCTCACACTGACATGCCGAGACCCAAGTGTCAGACCCTGCTCCCGCCTGCTCAGCAGAGCAGGAATAGCTCATTTACCGTGTTGTTAAGTGACACTTAAGCAAAAGGTGCCGAGTGGTGCTTTTTAACCTGGTGTGAGGAGGCTGCTGGCGCTCAGGGCCTTCTCCAGCTGTGCAGGGATGTGCTCACCAGCACTGGCAGCTGGTGGACTGAAGTGTTTGAGTGTGGCTAAGGCCAAGAGCTGGAGTCTGCCATGGTCTCTGTCATTCATTCTGTGCCTGCCCACCCTGCCTGGATGCAGACATTCCCCTCCCAAGGATGTTGTGAGAGAAGGATGCGAATCGCCTGTTTCCCCTGCTTTTTTTTTTTTTTTTCCCTTATGTGCCAAACTAATTTAAGAACTAACATTGTGCTTTTTTTATTTTCCTCAAAACAAAAAGAAAAAAAAAAGGTGGCATAGATTTGTGGTTTATTGCAGCGATCTATATTTTGGGCTGAAAGCCTCCGGTGTAGAATAAGCACAACAGCAGTCTGCTTGAAATTAATGCAAGAGTTGAGGAAAGGGCTATTTAAGGTACAGTTAATCAGGTTTCTGCTACATTTTTTAATGGAGACATTGATTACAGATTTCTATATACTCAAAGTTTATAAGGCAGACTTAATAACAAGGCAGAATTCCAAAAAAAAAAAAAAAAAAGCAGAAGTAAAAGCTTAACACTGCTGTCTTCATGTACAGTACTACCTTGTATGTATCCTGAGAGCAGTAAACTGGACTAGGTGCTTAGTGGTTTGTCTTAAATGAGCAAGTCAAGAGCTGAAATTCATACTGAACTGGAACTGGATGGTCTGTTCTAACACCAATTGTAGCAATTTGCATAACACTGTTTGGAGGGGCTGATGACTGGAACGGATATACTGTGTATATAGGATTTCTACCTGTTGTATGCTTTTTTCTACTGAAGAAAATAGATTGCTTAGAGTGGGTATGTTTTAATACACCTTTTAATTTCACTCTTTTTGAAGTACAAATGTGGCCTGTTATTAATAAAAAATTGTGTTCCACAACTTGTCTGTATTTTGGAGTCGATAAAGCAACTGAAAACCCATTGACCAACAACAGCAGAACACAACTATCATGTGTTAGAAGGGACCTTAAAGACCCCCTGACCTGGGCAGGGACACCTTCCATTAGATCAGGTTGCTCAGAGCTCCATCCAGCCTTGTCTTGAATGATGTTGAATCCCAAACTGTTGACATGTAAGGCTGCCCTCAGTTTTACATTCCCTACGGTTTTACAGAAAGTCAGGAGCTTGAAGAAATGGGAGGTGTTTGTTATTTACAGAAAAAAAATTGTAGAATAAAGCCTCACATAACCAAACCTTTAGGTGTGTAACACATTGATGTACAGCTGGGATGGTTTCTTCTTATGCTGTAGATGTTTGTGAAGAATTAAATGGTATTAAAAAGTAGATGGTGAAGCCATGCTCCTGCCACTACATGGAGGTTACAAAGCAATGCCACTCCTAGCAGAGCATGGCAGTCCCAGCAAGCTCCCAAAGGTGCTGACAGTGAAACTTCTCATTCAGCAAACAAAACTGTCATTTTCCTACTGCCTCCTTCCACTTCTTTGGAGACCAATAAGGTGGCCATGTTTCATTAAGCTGCACTTAATCACTATCTCAATATAGCAAATTGAACCGCAGACCACTTGGTCTCTCAAGCTTAAATGCTTGGCTTAGCCTAGCACACACCATTCTCTTCTATTTCACAGTCTCCTGAGCAGCGAGATTAAAGATACTTAAATTCCAGCACTTGCCTGAAGTGTAAAAGAGCTGTAAGACCAGGTAACAGCAGTCTTGCACCTCCTAATAAAGGTGGTTCACACCAGCAAGACAAGGGGAAAGTACACTTATAAAATGCTTTTAAAACAGCTCAAACACTGCTTCGCCAGTACATTCCTTTAGTGCCTAATAATAATAGTACATTAGCGTCTAATTAAACATGAGGCCACACTCATGAGTCCTTATTTCCATGCTGTCTTTCACAATAACAGGCACCAGCGATGCATTACAGAGAAGGCAACACAGCTGGCACTAGAGAAAAAAAAACAAAGGATTGCAATGACATGCTGCCAGGACTGGAGTGGGTATTTTTGCCTGTGGACTAGCCTGCCTTGGGGGCAGGAGGGGTGAGTGGGGGTGCTAAATTGGCAATAATACAGCGATTAGGAAGTACTGTTTTGTAAAGGTCTCCTTCAGGTGACTTCTCTAGTTGTATGTACACTCCTCTGACTTAGCTCAAGTCTCTGGCTCTGACCTAAGGCTTTCAGGCATTTCTTTGTCTCTTCCCAGTCTCAGGTGTGTTCTTTAAAAAAAACCCTGCAGGCTTGGGAGGTGGGTTTGAGGTGGTCTGTGACACAAAGGGCTCCATGGAGCTGAGCCTGCTCCAGGTCCCCAGCTGCTCCCTTGCAGGTGAGAGGGCTGAAAGATGAACATCAACTCTTCCTGCTCACCTCCAAGATCAGGCAGAGGGTGCTTGTAGGGCTTCTGCAGACTCCGTGCCCATTTGCTTCCTCTGGGCTGCTGACCATGGCCCCAGGTGGCTATTTCAACCCAGGGAGAAACATAAGAAAAAAAATATAGATACAATGAAATTATGTTCGTGACCATAACCTTCCCCTTTTCATCTCTAGATGTGGTTTTTCTGCCTGCACAGCTCCGGTGACACAGTCTGGGTTCCTGCCAGGCCCCGCTGGTGCCGTCTCCCGTGCAGGAGCACCAGCAGCGGGGAAGGTGCCTCACACCATCCCCATTCCTGACTCCTCTGCCCCGGGGGAGAGCACAGCCCCTGCTGCATTCATTACCCGTCTTTGCAGCAGTTTGTTCCCAGCAGAAGGCAGCTTTATTTACCTGCTGCTCCGTGCCGTGTTTGTACAGGCCTCGAGAGGACTCGACAAGCCTGCGGTTCAAACGCGGCGGTGGCGGAGAGGGGAGAGAATTGCTGGGTGATTGCAAAGAGGCCCCGGGGCAAACCTCAGCCCTTTCATTCCTGCCTCCTCTCCTCTCTTGCACCACCTTGGCTCCATTCAACATCAGGCTTGCAAGAAAAACAAGGCATGTGGGAGCTGCTCTGCAAGGCCTCCCTTTAGCAGAGAGGTCTGGAGGAGGGGATATCTCCTCTCCTCCACGCTCCTTTAACCCCAGCTGGGTACCATGAGGTGCAGAGCAGCCCGTGGGTGTCTCCAAAAATCCCAGGCAAAGCCTTCAGCTGCCAAAGTGCTCACGGGGTGCAAACCTCTGTTACCTCCCTGGCTGTCTGTGGGCTCAGCTGTTGATCAGATCCCGTTGTCCCTGTGCCCTGGGGAGGGAGCATCCAGCCTTTCCCTTTCCTTGACTTTGGATGTGTTTCTTTGGAGGAGACCCCCACAAGCAAGAGCAGTGGGCTCTCCAGACACCAGTCCTGGGGCCAGGGGGTTGAGGGAAGATGTCCAGCTGCACTTTGTCTGTCCTGTTCTTTGGCCAGAACCACCTGAAAGTGCGCCCAGGTCTCTGCATGAAGCCTGTAACAACTTTGGCCTCACCAGTTTGGTATCGGAGAAATACGGATCATTCACAGCACTGCTCCACTGCCTCCCCTCTTCACTTCTGCGATGCTCTTCCATCCAGGGCTGTGGTAAAATGCCAAACCCAGGCACTCCTATGGAATCACAGAATCGTTTAGGTTGGAAAAGACCTCCAAGATCATCGAGCCCAGCCATTTACCCAGCACTGCCATGTCCACTACTATTGCCAGCCCAAGCCAGGGAGAGCCTCACGGCCCAAGGCGAGCGCTGATTAAGCAGGGCAGGGTTAGAGCACAGGAAGCCCTTTCCAGGGGAGGTGGCACAGGCAGATCCCAACACGTCGGGCTGAGCGTCAGGGGCTGTCGGCAGGGAGGGAAGAGAGCTGTGATGGAGAGAGGGTGGGGAGGCTGTGCCCCGGGGACACTGTCACCCTGGAGAGGCTGGCATGACACCCAGCTGGGCTGGAAAACCCTCGCTGCTGCACCAAAGTCCTGAGCTTGTAGGGAAACGCTCAGCAGGCACATGAGGAAGAATGGGATTTAAAATCAGTGCTGCCACTACCCTATTTACCTGGTGTTTTTGAAATATTGCAGGAGAGGCTTTCAGGCTTTGCTCTGCAGTGATGTAGAGCTAAGCCCATTTAAGAGCTAATAAATAACAAATTGTGATCTACACAGACACCTTGTCTAAGAGACTCGAGTAGAAACACGCAGAAGTGAAAGACAAACACTACAGCCGTAGTTCCCAATGAGAAGGGAAAAGATGTTCTGCACTCTCCCCTGGAAGAGCAGGCAGAAGCCCGTTTGCTCTGCCCTAGAGGCACAGAGTAACCCTTGACCGTGACAGGAATAAGGGCCATGGGCCAACCCAGAACATGCACGAGGAGAGAAATTTGCCTGAAGAGTCTCCCCCACCCCAGTCTCCATTGCCTGTTCGGATCAGAGGAAATAAATCCTGGCAGAGCCAGTTTTCACAGGAGTTCATGCCCTGACCCTGCCTCAACAGGGACCGGGTCCAATACGTTTCCCTTTTATCTATTTAAATAGGATTGCTTTTCTTAGTCCACTAACAGGCAAAACATGCCAAGTCCTGTGCTGAATTACTGATGTCTGCTATGTTTTAAAACCCCCAGTGAGGCTGGCTTTGCCCCAGCATTGCCTTGCTTTTGTAAAGATGCTTAGCTAGGGGCACTGTAGGAGGTTTAGCAGGCCACAATTCTAACTGACATTGGAAACTTCTATCACATAGCTACATCCAAAAGCACACGTGCAGTGGGGTTTAGGCATTTGCAAAATCAAAGTGTAGATGTTTGTGGTGAATATAAAGGCTGACTTCAGTCTAACCTCTACCAGTCTCCACAGCTCACATATGACTTCATCTTCCTTTAAAAAAAGGTAAGATTTAAAATCTATCCAGCAGACCAGGCCATCCCAGCTTGAAGAAGATGCTGGATGCCCTGAGATTAATTTAGCCTGACCACTGACTTATCAAAGCAGAAAAGCCTTTATTCCCCAGGTCTCGACATAAATCCAGATCCT